TTCATTTTTGGGTGCACTATTCCTTTAAGTTGCCTTATAGATCAAGTCCACCATATGAAACATGTGCAAACTTAAATCTGAGTTTGTACAACAGTCATCATATCTTGCCCTTTTGTATGAGCTAACCTGACCCTGTTTTTTGAAACCTAAACATGGTTTTTCAAGATTTTGTCAAGATATGGTTATCTCAATGTTATATTTGCACTATTTTCACTCCTAATCAGATTGTGGATGGAGTTGTGCAGAGTATTAAACTGATCACAGAGGAGGCCAGCAGGCGCATCGCTGAGTATGCATTTGAGTACGCCAGGAATAACCAAAGAGCCAGTGTCACGGCCGTTCACAAAGCCAACATCATGTGAGAGTCACAAATCACATAGTAACTTTGTAGCTATGAAGAATTTCTGTATAAGTTTTTACTGATAACAAATGTCTTGTTGGATCTAATTACAAAATAATTGTAAGATATAACGATGCTAAATTCAAGTGATGTCTTCTAGGCGAATGTCTGACGGTCTGTTCCTGAGGAAGTGCAGAGAGGTTGCTGAGAATTACAAGGACGTGAAATTCACTGAGATGTATCTGGATACAGTCTGTCTCAATGTATGTTTACAAGAGAACTTCATTGATTATTCATCTGTGAAACATAAGATTTTTTTTATTAGTTTTTTATATTGTATTGTATTAAATTAGTTTTTCAATTTAAAGTTTTTCTTATATTGTATTATATTTTATTTCAGCTTTATTTTAATTACGTACACTTTTTCTTAAAGCGGCACTATGTAACTTTTGGCGCTCTAGCGGTTAATAAACAGAACTGCACACATCCCGCGGAAGAACATTCCAACCGGAGCTACTTCTCTAAGTTTATGTCTATGGCGATTCACGCAGGTATGTGTTACTCCGCAGCGGTGACGACCCGACCAGGCTACAATAGTCAAAATATAAGTACTTATTAGAAGTGTACCGTAGTGATTTGGAATAAGACAAAAACGCGGTTTGGAAGATGAATTCATGATGTACTCGCTCATTATATACATTTTGCACATTTTGAACACAGAAAAAATTACATAGTGCTGCTTTAAATGAAAATCGTTGATGTTAACGTAAAATCCCATGACAATCATTGCATTTGACTTCTAGAGGACATTGTGAAGGCAAGGTGATATGTGACAGATCACGTCTGGAGTATCAGAGAAGAGAAAAAGGCATTAAATGAGATATGAACAGCAGAGAGTCCAAAGAATCACGAGAGAAAAGCCTACCGAAACACGTTCAAGGCCCAGAAAGGTAGTAAGGACATTGTTAAAAAAATCCATGTGACATCAGTGGTTCAACCTTAATTTTATGAAGCTATGAAAATACTTTTTGTGCGCAAAGATAACAAAAATAATGACTTTATTCAAAAAAATGTTTACACAAAAAGTATTCTTGTAGCTTCGTTAAAATGTCACATGGACTATTTTAACAAACTCCCTTTCTGGGCCTTGAACGTGGTAGTAGCGTTGCTGTTTATGCAGGGTCAGAAAGCTCTCGGATTTCATCAAAAATATCTTAATTTATGTTCTGAAGATGAACAAAGGTCTTATGGGTTTGGAACGACATGAGGATGAGTAATTAATGACACAATTTTCATTTTTGGGTGCACTATTCCTTTAAGTTGCCTTATAGATCAAGTCCACCATATGAAACATGTGCAAACTTAAATCTGAGTTTGTACAACAGTCATCATATCTTGCCCTTTTGTATGAGCTAACCTGACCCTGTTTTTTGAAACCTAAACATGGTTTTTCAAGATTTTGTCAAGATATGGTTATCTCAATGTTATATTTGCACTATTTTCACTCCTAATCAGATTGTGGATGGAGTTGTGCAGAGTATTAAACTGATCACAGAGGAGGCCAGCAGGCGCATCGCTGAGTATGCATTTGAGTACGCCAGGAATAACCAAAGAGCCAGTGTCACGGCCGTTCACAAAGCCAACATCATGTGAGAGTCACAAATCACATAGTAACTTTGTAGCTATGAAGAATTTCTGTATAAGTTTTTACTGATAACAAATGTCTTGTTGGATCTAATTACAAAATCATTGTAATATATGAAGATGCTAAATTCAGTGATGTCTTCTAGGCGAATGTCCGACGGTCTGTTCCTGAGGAAGTGCAGAGAGGTTGCTGAGAATTACAAGGATGTGAAATTCACTGAGATGTATCTGGATACAGTCTGTCTCAATGTATGTTTACAAGAGAACTTCATTGATTATTCATCTGTGAAACATAAGATTTTTTTTATTAGTTTTTTATATTGTATTGTATTAAATTAGTTTTTCAATTTAAAGTTTTTCTTATATTGTATTATATTTTATTTCAGCTTTATTTTAATTACGTACACTTTTTCTTAAAGCGGCACTATGTAACTTTTGGCGCTCTAGCGGTTAATAAACAGAACTGCACACATCCCGCGGAAGAACATTCCAACCGGAGCTACTTCTCTAAGTTTATGTCTATGGCGATTCACGCAGGTATGTGTTACTCCGCAGCGGTGACGACCCGACCAGGCTACAATAGTCAAAATATAAGTACTTATTAGAAGTGTACCGTAGTGATTTGGAATAAGACAAAAAGGCGGTTTGGAAGATGAATTCATGATGTACTCGCTCATTATATACGTTTTGCAAATTTTGAACACAGAAAAAGTTACATAGTGCTGCTTTAAATAATCATCTATTTAATACGTAATATCTTTTATATATCTGGTTAACAATTACAACAATGCACTGCATGCATAATATGCAGTGCTGCATGCTCTGAGTTTCAGTTTGGCCGTTTTTAGTTATACTGTGAAATATGGAAAATACAGAAATCTTGTGCATTGCATTCACACACTGCGAATACAGTTTGGGCTTGGCTTCCCTGTAGTTTAATCCGCATTTGAAAATAAATGTGGTTCCCCTTTTCATGTAAATTAAATTTCATGAGGATCAACGTTGTAATAATTCTCAAACCATTTTATAATTTATGTGAGTTATTAGAAGACCTGCTCAATGTAGTGACCCAGAAATCATTTTACTTTCACAGCCTTTACATTACTTTGTATTGTGATTATCCACTAGATGGTGCAAGATCCTTCTCAGTTTGATGTACTGGTAATGCCTAATCTTTATGGCGACATCTTGAGGTGAGTCTGTATAAAGCATCATTTGATAATATATATGATATGATTATATCTACAAAGTGCAAGTCTCACCAGTCTTTGATTTGGGTTTCAGTGATCTGTGTGCCGGATTAATTGGGGGTCTTGGAGTCACTCCCAGTGGAAACATCGGAGCAAATGGTGTCGCCATATTTGAATCAGTATGTATTGGACTCTGATGCAATAGCTTCACAATGGAGTGATTGATCAAATAGCATCATTCCATATATGTGACCCTGGAGCACAAAACCAGTCATAAGTAACACTGGTATATTTGTAGCAATAGCCAACAATACATTGTAGGGGTCAAAATTATCAAATTTTTTTAATGCCAAAAATTATTAGGATATTAAGTAAAGATCATGTTACATGAAGATGTTTTGTAAATTTCCTACCGTAAATATATCAAAACTTAATTTTTGATTAGTAATATGCATTGCTAAGGACTTCATTTGGACAGCTTTAAAAGCGATTTTCTCAATATTTTGGATTTTTTTTTTTTGCACCTTCAGATTCCAGATTTTCAAATAGTTGTATCTCGGCCAAATATTGTTATATCCTAACAAACCATACATCAATGGAAAGCTTATTTATTCAGAATATCAATTTAGTTGGTCCAGGGTTACATATCATAATCCATTTTTTTTATGTGTTAGGTACACGGAACTGCCCCCGACATCGCAGGCAAAGACCTGGCGAACCCCACCGCCCTTTTGCTGAGTGCCGTCATGATGCTGCGCCACATGGGACTTCATGGGCACGCTAATAAGATTGAGACGGCCTGCTTCGACACCATACGGGAAAAAAAGGTAGGATCAGTCATTGAATATGAATTTAGCTTCTAGCTTCTACCATCAAGACAGAGCTTGTTTTTTTTATGTCTGTTACCCATCTAATATTTCAGGTTCTGACTAAAGACCTCGGTGGAAACTCTAAGTGCTCAGAGTTCACAGCTGACATCTGCCGAAGAGTGCAGGACATGGATTAAGGCTTTTCTAGTGTGTATGTTTGGATCTGATGCCTAAAGAACTGACAGTCAAAAAAAAAAAAAAATCTTCGTATCATTCTGGTATCTGCACACAATTCTACTAAGTGTCTGCATTTTCATTTCTCCAGAACCGCAAAGCACTGTCTTAAATTCTTGTCCTTCAGTGACTGTATTTGTGAACTGTTTTAATCTGTCAAAAAGGAACTACATAATCTAAGATAAACTGTATTTATTGACTGGACACTTTCTCTGGTTTGATGTGTTTTGAAAATTTGCCATTCTGTCATATGACAGGAATAATCTTGTCCAAATAGTAGAGGCGTAAATACATAAAGGGTATTTTGAATTTATTTTTTTTTTATTTTTTTTTTGCTTCAAAGTGTGGTAAATCCGTTAAAACGGTGAATATATGTTTCACATTTTTATGCTTAAGCTTTTACATCAGCTATGAACTTTGCATTATGGTTAACAATTAATATAATTCAAACAGTTCTTGACCTTTGCTGTGTCAAATGACTGTACTATCAAGACATAACTTTGGATGGATATATATATGTCTATTTTTATGGACAAAACAACCCATGTCTTTATTTTTACAGAGCACTATTATAAGATCATTATAATAATACTGCATAAACTAACATTACCAAATACAGTAAATCCATAGACAAAGTGACAAAGCACAAGTTTTATTTTTAAGATCTGGGCAAAACATACAAGAATATTAAACATATCCAATTTACATGGAAGACAATTAACAGTATGTTTAATGATAGAAATTAAAAAAATTAGGGCACTTAGTGTTTTTAGATTAAAAAAATAAATCATTAAAAATCTAATTTCTACAATATGATTGGCCAAAAAAGCAACAGTATCTTTAACAGAGATACAGCCAGTCTGGAGGTTGTCTATTCTCTGTAAAAACTCTCTATTTCACCGTGATATATCTGCAACACCACTGGGCGACGTAGTTTCATTGTAGGACCTGAAAAGTAACATAAATCTGTTATCTTTTGGAAATAACTATTGTTCCAATTTCAATAGAAGTAAAGATCCATCAGAAAATATATTATTTTTGTCCCCATTGGATAAAAGTAATGTGTGCACAGCACTCACCTAGTTCTCCTCCAACAATTGAGAAATCTTTCCCTAATATGGTCCATTTTTGAATGCGCTGGGCATTTGAGGTTGCTTTTGAGTTGACCCGTGCGATGCCCTCTTCAATGGACTGGTACACTATTTTGTCTTTTCCTCCAATGATGCCTGACACCTTTGTCGATTGGCTACCAAGCCGCTGACAGAATTCCACAGCCTCCAAGCTAAGAATGTCAGTGGGTTCTGTAGTCTCCGGATTGATTGTGCACTATCCAAGGAAAGGAATAATAGATTAACCTAAATGGTTTGAGTTGTTGAAGCCAGAGCCTTTCTCAAGGCATAGTTTACCTTTAGCGTTAGCAGCATGGACAGAAATTTCCTCTTGTCTCCAATCAGCATGGCATTGCTGATGATTGGCAACTCCTGTTTTACAGCATCCTCTATGGAAAGTGGGGCAACGTTCTCTCCTCCAGCCGTGATGATAAGCTCTGAATGGAAAGAGATTGAATGGAAATGCCATTTTAAGCTAACCCGGATCCAATTATAGCATCAAAGTTAGTAAAAAATAGCATCCTTTACCTTTTATTCTTCCAGTGATGTAAAGAAAGCCATCTTCATCTACCTTTCCCAAGTCTCCAGACCGGAGCCATCCATCTTCATCCAAAGCCTCCTTTGTTTTATCCTCCAGGTTGAGGAATCCCATGAAGACATTGCGGCCCCAGAAACACACCTCTCCAATGCCATCAGCATCTACGTTTACTAGTTTGTATCGGCAGCCCGGAACCACTTTACCACAGCTAGAAGAGTTTTGGGAATTGTTACACAGTGAACTTGTTGATCATTGGCCTTCAGATTGAAGGTACTCAACCTGTAAGTTGAGGTAAGAAGGCTTGCCTTGAAAATCGGTACACTTTTGGCCCAGACATAAAGTGGGGTCCTGAGCTTTCACTCATCCCGTAGGCTTCATACAGCCGAATGTTGAGGCCAAGGAAGAACTGAAGAGTTTCATTTCCAATAGGTGCTGCTCCCGAGAAGAACTTCACACAATTGGAGATGCCCAGCTCAGCACGAAGCTTCTGCAAGACCAAACTGTCTGCAAGAGTGAAGAGGAATGACTTCTCCTCATCCCTAATTTAAAGAAAATGATCATAAACATAAGAAAACTTCAAATAACTTCAATGCAATGTGGACAGTGATATACTGTAAAACAAATGACGTACTTGGTAAGCCTTTGATTAGCCTCCAGACTAACAGACATGGCCCATGTCACCAGTTTCCTTTTCATGTATCCACACCGTGAAATGCCTTCTTTGATCTTTTCCATAATTTTCTCCCAAACACGAGGAACGCCCATGTGGGCTGTAGGGGTTACCTCTCGAAGAGTGTCTACTAAACTCCCCTAAAAGGGAACATAAAATTGAATGTAAACACCAGAGCAATGTAGAGTACAATTCGATCCTTTACAACAGTTGACTCCTTGACAATTCTGGCAGTGTGGCATGGTGCATTATCCTGCTGGCAACGACCATCACCGGCAGGGAACACCATTACCATGAATGGGTGCACTTGGTCTGCAATGAAGTTCAGATACCTCATAGCAGTCAGGAATTGTGCTATTGGGATAAAGAGGCCTAAAGTGCCCCAAGAAGACATTGCCCACAGCATAACTGGAACTGTGTCCACCCAACAGTGCGTCCAGGTGCCATAGCCTCTGTTGGTAATCGGCGTATCCGCACTCAGCCGTTGACGTGATGCACCGGGAATCTTGGATTGGGGGGGGGG